TCTGTTCAGAACAATGGATTAGTCAACAGGCTTCACCATTTCCAAAGAAACTGCAAGTTTCCCCTTCAAGCTAATTACAAATGAATGTCAGATTTATGTAGTTTGCAATGTGTTCTTTATATTGGTTATAAACATGTACTTAAGAGAAGTAGGCATCAGTAGAAAAAGAGGTCTCAAAAGAATAAAGTAATTGGAGGGGCTACCCTGGTAAGTTTGCCAAATATATTAATATATCAGCAAGTCAAAAAAATGGGAGGTTATTATCTTATATTCTAGCTTTTAAATGTCTGAAGTTTGAGTTTCTAATTTGTTAATCACTCTAGACGTCATATGGTAGGCATAATGAAATATAAATTGAATAAGAAGACATGCTATATGGCACAAAATAGCATAGTTATTATTTTTAGCTGCAGCTGTTGAGGTTTCCCTGCTGTTTTTAATATTTTCTCTTAAATTAAGAAATGAAAATGTATTAAAATTTTAATTATTAACTGATGCCAGTTTTATTGGTGTATAATGATAATAAAGTTGTTTAATTAAATCATGACATTCCCCATTTGCCCTATCCATAGTGAGAGGGTTAACTAAGAAGATCAAATCAGTAGAGGTTGGTAAAAGACTATTCAGTTGGATGGGAAAAAGCAGAAGGTTTTTTCTAATGGAGTCAAGGCAGTGTGAACCCTTTTTGCTAGTCAAATACCTCAGGGTCAATTCTATACCTTTGATTTTTTTATTTACATTAGTAATATCACTAGAAGCTTAATTAGTAAAGTTTGCTGACCACTAGATGTGTTGGACAAATTCCCTTTAATTATAGTAAATGGAAGGAAATGCATTTGGTTTATTATAACTTGAACCTCATAGATTGGAATACACTCATTAGGGTGAAAATGATCTTGACATAGTGGTAGATAAGTTACTTAAACTATCAAAGCAGTCCTGTGTCGATAGTAGAAAAGCTAATACAATTTTAAGGTGTATTTATAGATATTGATAACTGGTCAAAAGAGGTATTTATCTCTTTACAAATACTAGTTAAGCCTTCTGTGGATTACTGTATACAGTTTTGGTCTCCTGATCAAAGTGATACTGACTTATTGGAAAGGGTTCAGAGGAATGCTACTAGACTGATTCCAGGTATGGAAAGGTTATCTCACAGGGACAAGTTAAGAAATCTAATTTTCTAAGGAAAAAAATAAGGGAAGAGGTGATCTTATTGAACATTCCAAGGTTATTAGTGTAATTAATAGATTAATAGCCTCTGGTTTTTTGGTGCTATATTCTAAAGATAATAAAACAATATGGCAAGTTTACGATTTGGAAAAAACAAGCTAGGCTTCAGTTATGACAGTTTTATTTTTCTGACATGAGTTGGAGTCAGCAGTAGTGGGGTCAACTCTTACAAGAGTTTAAGAAAGGAATTGGTGATTTTCTTTAAAGGAAAGAGTGGATCTAAATTTTTTAATTTACTCAAGGGTGGACATGCAAGGATGATGGAATGGACCTTGTTGGCCAAAATTTATGTATAACAAATAATAAATGACAGAGCTATGTTTACACATGAAATGTATGTATATACTATTTTATTTTTAAGAGTTCTTTTCTGACCAAATATGTATTTCATGCTCCCAAACCTCTGGTATGTCATATATTTGTAGCTTTCTCTCATTAGGAACAACTTATGGACTTTGTTCTTTAATTTGAGGATCCCTTGATCATCATATTACATGATAAAAAAAATGGCCAGTATTCTGTATTTATTATTTTTAAGTCTGTACTGTTCTTATCTGATAGGAAGTCAATTTAAAACTTGCTAATGTGAGTGCTACCCTTGTTGTATTTTATTAATAGCAATGTCTATATTTTCTGTTTTAGTACAACAATGTTGCTGTCATCTATTAGAACAGCTATAAGTGGGAAACGTTTTTTGCACCAGATCAGGTTTGCAGACGTTCCGAGCATTTCATCGATGTGCACCCTGTCTTAGTGGAGATGCTCTGTTTGTTCATCGTGATACTGAAAAAAATAACCCTACTACTGTATTTGATTTTACCCCTGAGAATCTGAAGCGAGTCCAGGCTATCTTGAGCATCTATCCAGAAGGACACAAGTCAGCTGCTGTCATTCCTATGCTTGATTTAGCTCAGCGACAACATGGATGGCTTCCAATATCAGCCATGCATAAAGTTGCTGATATGTTAGACATGCCAAGAATGAGAGTGTATGAAGTTGCTACCTTTTACACAATGTTTAATCGTAGTCCTGTAGGGAAGTACCATGTACAAGTTTGTACCACTACTCCTTGTATGCTGCGAGGAGCAGAGGAGCTACTTGACTGTGTAAAACAGAAACTGGGTATCAAAGAAGGGGAGACCACTAAAGATGGATTATTTACTCTTAGTGTGGTTGAATGTTTGGGTGCCTGTGTTAATGCTCCCATGATGCAAATCAATGACAATTATTATGAAGATTTAACCCTGAAAGATGCAGAAGAAATCCTCAGTGATCTGAAAGCAGGAAAGAAACCTAAAGCTGGGCCTCGTAATGGTCGATTTGCTTCTGAGCCTCTTGGTGGTTTGACATCCCTGACAGAACCCCCAAAAGGACCAGGATTTGGGGTTAGGCCAGATCTGTAAACAGCAATCATGTTTATGAAAACTTTAGTTTGGGTATTTAGTAGAGGACATTCTGTAGAAATATTTTTTGTGGCAAAGTTCTTCATTTGCTGTAAAAGAAGTATTTAAAATTTAGAATAGAAGTTGTAGTACAAGATTATTAAAACAAAGTGATTTCTCAATAAATGTTCATGATTATTGATATATTGCCTGATTATTAGTTACTTATTTTTTGCGCTGTATGATTCTAGGTTTTATTTTAAGATTTTTATTTTTTTTTATCTTTGAAGTATAGTAAAAGAAAAATTTTTAAGGTGTGAATGCCTTTTCCTAGAAAGTTTGTGTTGCAAGTATAAAAGAATAACAGTATTGTTGCGTATCTTCTTGTTAGTAGAGGGCACCTGGAAAAGACTAGACAATTCACAATCCATCTAGAAACTCATCACGTGTTACCAGCGTCACGTGACTTCCGCTGTCGTAACAGTATAAATGCCAGAGTAATTAATGCATTATATTTAGTTTCAATTAATGAGTGAGAAAGAGTTCTTGCATCTGTTTGTCTACATGTACTTTTATTTGTATGAGAGGCATGCAATTAGAATTTTAATTTCTGTACAAACATTGTTTGTAAAGTTAGGCCTACAAATGAACATAGCCTTTAGTAAATATTATTGAAGAAATAAGTTATTTTATTGTCCTTACATGAACAGGATGTAGCATTATCTTTACCAAGTAATACAAAAGATCCTGCACAGCAATAGAATATCCTACAATATGATGTCAGAAGTGGGATTATTTTGGAAAAAATAAAATAGAACTTTCACTAAAACTTCAAGATGACATGATCACAAAGCAAGATTGAAACTACTAGAGATGATGAAACAATTACAAGAAGATTAAGAAGAGAGACAGAAAGTTAAAAGAACACCAATAAGAAACAAACAGAAAATTAAAAGAATACCAAGAAGGAAGATATAGGGAAATAAAAGAAGATCAAGAAGAAATTTGTTGGAAATTAATAGAAGATCATGAAGTAGAAGACAGAAATTTAAAAACAGAGTTTAAGATAGATTTAATGTCTAAATAAGAATATAAAAAATACAATAGTTGTTTTCAAGTGTAAATTGAAAGCACATATTGTCTAAATCTGCACAAAACCTGTAGGAAATAAAAATTCCTCCCAAAGTATGTTGGAAAAAAATAGAATTGTTATAAGTGTGGGAAACATTGAAATTACAACCAAGACCGTTAGGAATCAACAGCCATTGATAAGGTTAAAGAAAACCCTATGAATAAGATTCAAGAGTCTAAATTATTTTAATTAGATTTGTTGAGACTTTCTCTCCCCATGGCGTGACTGAAAAACTACTTCTGTTTGCATGAGTGAAAATATTGCTGGTGTCTGTTTTGAACCTGACTATCATATATGCTGGAATACCATCATCAACAAAGCTTAAGCATCTCTCCTTTCGATGTCCTTTGAGTGTAAGCTCCATCCATCACTTAAAAATAGTTGGTGTGTAATATTCAAAATAAATGGCATTACACGGAATTCATATAGACCATCTCTTGTGCTAAAAGCAGTCTTAAGTCTACTTTCTTTGTACAGCTTGACTTACTGGATTCAGGATGCCAGATATAAGGTGTTAAATCAATGGAAACCTTCTAATTTTTTAAGATTCATCCTTGCATGCTAAAGAGAATATGCTCATGCAAGTGACTGTGTTACCTGTTGGTGGTCCATGCAGAACCCTGACATACCTTTGTTCTTCCTGAAAGTCACTACATGTGACAATCAAGTACTTTTAGAAGGTTGGATGCTGTAATTCAGCACTTGCAACCTCCCTAGTGCTCCAAGGAATTTGTCATGGTAGTTGCTTTACCAGACATTTCATCTGTGTGTATGTTGCTGTTTTACCCAGCTTGTCATTTAGTCCCATAAACACACTGCCATGTTCGCCAAACAAATCACTGAGTTGCTTTCATTACAGGTCTAGATTATCATCACATTCATCAACTAGAGGAGCACTCAATAGAAAGCATACCTCCGCCATCCAGCAATGATCATATTCAGCTCTCAAAAATTACGAAAATGTGCCTGTACGTCTGTTCTTATCAATATACACAGACCATTTATGACAGAACAATGGCGAAAAATATTCTACATATGTCCACCAAGTTTCATCAAAATTCGATCATTTTTGACTGGGTTCTAAAGCACAAATAGTGTGAAAATTTGGTCCCCATGTAAAGAAATAGGTTTTTGTTGTTATCATGACCTTGACCCTCTAAAAACTAATAACTTCTAAGTTGAGTCAGTCCAAATTTATACCAACTTTCATTTAAATCCATTCAGCTGTTTTCGAGAAATCTTGCTGACAAACACACAGAGGTGAAAACACAACTTACATCCACCTTTGTTGGTGGAAGCAACCAGTACCCTCGGGTGTGTCAGTAGCCTGATACTTACTTCTAGTTGTAGTATTATGGATGCATTCCTAGCATATTTACTACCACTTTGCTTGTTTTCCCTATCAACACATACCAAGCTCCACCCAGCATGGACAGAACTGAACTGGCCATTAAACTAGTGCAAGCTGTCTTAGTGTGTTCGATCTAAGACTGTGGCCAGGACTAAATGTTTTTTCAGAGCATTTACCACAGTATCTACTACTTGTTGCTGATCAGCATGGACCTGCTTATCTGATGGCTGTTTACTGATACCCTTTTCTACTTTACATTTATGCTAACTGTTGGTGTGGTTAGCAGGCATTTGCTTGATACATCAGGTGGAGATTATAACTCTGTCATTTTTGCTGTGCTGCTAAATAAGGACAATTCCTTTACCAGTAACCCACTAGTCCACTATGAAACAGAGGCTTCACTCTTACCATCACAGATGATATATAGGTGGAGGAATTGGTAGTGGTTGCAGCATGTATTCTGTAGGTGGACCTTGCAATTGCATGCACCATTGTGATAGCACATACCCTCTGGGTGGACCTTTGTATGATATATACCGTGTAGATGGATCTGCATAGCCCTAATCTATTGCTAAAGATCGGTGTGATTGTCTCACATTTCTGTCCTGAAGAGGTAGCTGGTTATTAACCCCTGATGTGGCTAGCCCACGAGCAAGTACCAGTCACAACCATCTATTAGAGGAATAGCCACTACAGTAGCTGCATCAGGTTTCTTCCTCTCTGACAACTGGCTTGAAATGACTGAAGCATGTTGTGATGGATATGGCTTCCATCAGAGTGATAACGTCCCTCACTTTCAAGTGTATTTACATAAGCATATTGGGAAGTCCCTTAATGAACTTAATGATCAGGATGTCCTTACAGTCTGCAGAGAACATTGCAGGGTGTGCTTTCCTGTGCAACTAAAACATATCATATGCATAGGTGGTCAGTCTCTTGGCACATATCCTCTTTTAAGCCTTGAACTAGGCCGATGGATCACCCAATTGTCCACCAGGTCAAATTGACAATGGAACATATAAATGACAGTTTCCTAGTTGTCTTGCTGCTTATCATTCAAGTATTCAACAGCTTCATGGGCCAGACTGTACAAGCTCAAGACCAGACATCGCACAGGCTATTTCCGAGTCCCTGAAACTTTTCAAGTATCATTCCAGGTCCTCTCTTTGTGTACCCTTGAACATCAGAGCACATGATCTCTTTGGCGACATTCACCAGGTCCTGTGTGCCAATCCAGAGCCTCCCTCAGAATCCCAATGAATACCAAGAGAAGATGGCCAATGTCCTTGGTTCTGGATGAAGCCATTTATTGCAATCAATTTTTAGAAATTGATTAATGGAGTAATTGTCCAATTTCAAGTATGTGAAAACAAATTAAGATAAAAGTTTCTCTACATCATTATATTATGATCACTGTTAGGTGATTACAACTAGCATATTGCCAAAATGTTTCCATTAAAAGGAGAACGAGTAGAGAAGAGAAAGGGAATGTGGTATGGAACACTAAAAGATGATTAAGGTTTCATTGGTTAAACATGTTAACCATTTTTAACCGTTTGTAGTTTGATCGAATGTTTCTCGTGTTTGAAAGTGAAAAAATATGTGTCCAATCTTCGTTTCATATTTTTAGGCGTGTGTATGAGGGGGGGGGGCTCAATTAGGCTTACTAAAACCATTCACAGATTTCCTAAGCACGTCTTATAATGGTGACATTTCATTTATTTACCCATTGACTAGTACACTGTAAAATGCTATAACGTTAATGTATCCAACGAAATATAAATCATATTGTTACGTCTCCGTTTGTTAATTAACTTTCCGTAACTTCGTTCCGACGAAACTTTAGCGACACAAGTTCTTTACTTAATAAAACTGATTTATTCTTTCCGAATACAACTTTACGATACTCTTATTTTCAAC